CATACCAAAGTTAACATGTCCAAAGCAAAACTCCTGCTATCTCTGGCTCCTCTCCCAGACCTCCCCACCTTGGCTAAAGACAACTCCAATCCTCCATTTGCTCAAGCGAAACCTTTAGTACCATCGTTATCTGCCTTCTCTCTCACTGTATAGCCATTATCTCAGCAAACTCTGTCAGTTCCTCCTTCGAAATGCACTGAGTCTTCCTGGCTCTCTTCGCCTCCACGGGCAGCACCCTGGTCCAAACCACTATCGTCCCTATTCTGGATAATTACGATAGCTTCTTCACTGGTCCCTGCTGCCAAACTTACCTTATGACAGTCTATTTTTCATAAAACACAGACAGAAATATATTCACACCCACATTGAGATGAATAAGAAAAGCGACAAAAATGTCAAGGTTCTTTCCCATGTGATAAAACGTTTTTAAACTTTATCATACTTTTTTACACGTTTCATACTGTGTACAAAAAGGTATATGCATATGAAGCTTTAAACATTTGACTCACAGCAATTACACTCAGAGAACAATGGACTAGGCTGGACAGTTCTCTTCTGGTTGTAAAATCAGGGTAAGGGTCCTCTGAAAATTTGTTGTTAAGTATGATCAGTTCTTCCTTAGTAAATACATGTCGTTGTTTTCCTTTTCTTCGTTTCTGCTCTGTTCTTATTTCTTCGTCATGACCACACTCTGCAGTTGGAGAGCCTGTATGAAGTATAAGTTGAGAGAGAAAAGCATTGGAGAATAAAGAAAAGACTGCTCAATAACAATAATGGCACAATGGACTACTCATTCATAAAATAAGATAAAAATTGGAGCCCTACCTAGTTTACGTCCACCCAATAACCAACAATTTGAGTGTATTGGGTGTGGGGGAAGAATGGTAAGAATCAGGAACATAGGAAATCAGCATCAGAATCGATTAGATTGGAAAACAATTTTTAAATATAGTCAAGTCGAAAGTGTGTCCTTCAACACAGCAATTAAATATTCTCAAGTATATAATGCAAAGAAACTAACATGTTTAAGAAGAAATATGAAAGCATGTTGAATTATCGGTGATTTAGAAAAAGTTTGAGAAAATCTAAATGTTCGTAAGGTAACACATGAGGCTATAGTCAATTGTTGGACCTTCAGCTATTTGGACAAAAACAAATAGAATCCGCCTTTTTAGCAGATAGACAAAAACAAGAAAGAAACGAAGTTTCTCTTTAATAATAGATATCAATATTCAATCAATAAAGAGCTATGCAAACAAGAACTTCTAGAAGATAACAGAAAATCTGAATGATCCTGGGTTTGTTGATGACTTTTTTACATTCTACTACAAATCAATAGCCACACACAGACACAAAATTGATAAGCTAGTTTGAAACACAGTCTGGCGGTTTCTTAGAAAGCTAAACATAGGCTTAGCGTTCAATCCAGGAATCGCACTCTTAGGTATTCACCCAAATGAGACGAAAACGTTATGTCCACGTAAAAACCTGCACATAAATATTTCCAGTAGCTTTATTCATAACTGCAGAAATATGGAAGCAACCAAGATGTCCTTCAATAGGTGAATGGATAAACAAACTGTGGCACACCCATACAATGGAGTATTATTCAGCTATG